CGTATTATATCGACATAAAAAAGAAATAAAACAAAATACTGAAATCAAGATGTATCTCGATACATTGCACGAATACTCTTATAGTATTCTTTAAATGGACGTAAAGTAATGCCCATACTTTTAATACAAAATATATTCATTAAAATAATTTCTATAATACATTAATTAATGTTTTTAAGGAAATATAGCAGAAACATAAATATGAAGGGCATAAAAGTCATTGAAACATGTAACATGGTTGAGGCATAGATAAGAACAAGAAGCAACATGGATTGGGTCCTGGTTCAAACTTCAAAGTGAGCAACATCTAACTTGCATTCAATTGGCTCACCACAAGTGGTTCAATGGTCCAAGTGGGTGTTCAACCACATTAGCCATTACAAACATTTATATATAGAGACATAGGTTAGGTTCCTATTGGAATTCAAAATTTGGTGGGAATGGCAGAAATAACATCCGAATCATATTAGCTTATCAGATGAATATGATAAGGACTAAGAATCTTATTCGGTAAGAGCGAGACAAGGAACAAGAGTCTTACCCGGTAAGTGAAGACGACGACTCTTACCACGATAAGCACTTACCAGGTAAATTGTTGCATACGATACCGTTTTGGTAGACTAAAATCTTACCCGGTAAGTAAATGATAGTGCTAAATTTTACTGGTAGGTACTTACCCGATGAGTGTTTGGTAAACGACCCCCAACTCTATCTAATACACTTTCTACATTGGCCTCCCGCATTAACTTTCTTCATCTCATTTGCAATAATTTCTCTATTTTAGAGATTTTCAACATTTATTAAAATATATATTTTTTAAAATAGAGAACCAAAAGTTAAAACATTTAAAAACATTTACAATAGATCTAACAAATTCTCTATTTTAGAGACTTTCAACATTTATTATATTATTAAAATATTCTAAAAATTTGTTATTTCAATACACTTTTAAAAAGAAATTATTTAAAATAATAATAATTCAATATTATTGATGAAAATAAATAAAACATTAATTTCTTTATCCATACATCAAGTTTTAGAGAATTCTCTTGATTTGAAGTTTTCTCTATTTTAATGAATAATATAAATAACAAAAATCACAATTTTTATTTTAAAAAATCTATTGAAAATGTTTTTTTAATTAACCTGGATATCCAACTCGCTATGCATTGAAAATGTTTTTAAGAGCATCTGCAACAACTTCTCCGAAATGAATATGAGAACTCTAAAAAAAACGAATACTTATGAGAGAGAAATAATTTTTTATTCTTTATACCAATAAGAGTGCTTGAAATAAAATGTTTAAGAGAGAAATATTTTATCAATTGCATTTGAATATTTGAATAATATAATTAATGAGTTGGGTTCATACGAGACCAACCTGTTTTCGTAAGACCCATGAGACTATTTTTTTTACACTTGAAACTTCACAGCAAAATGTTGGGAAGGTAAAAAAAAAGCCCCAACTTTCACAACAAAAATACTGTAAAGGTTACCTTTACAGTGTTTTGCTGTGAAGTTTCAAGTGTAAAAAAGTGATCACACGGGTCTCACAAAAAATAATCTCACATGATTTCAAGTCTATAATTAATTGTGTAATCTCTAAATGAAGAATATATTAAAGGTTAAGGTAATATTTTAAAGATTTTGATTTTTATATTTAAAGAAAGGTTATATAAGTTAGTTTATTAAACAAATATTAACATAAAAATATATACTTAGATTTTTTTTTATCAAAATAATTAAGAAAATTAAAAAAATATATACCATTTCCATATAATTTGTGTACTTTTCCTGTTTTATATTTGATTAAAAATAGAAAAAAACAATATAAAACAGAATAAATAATTTCCAAACTGATTCCATCTCTTTGTTTATTAAATCACAGTTCTGTGTATCTTCTCCCCAACGCAAACCAACCACGCACATATGCTCTCACCAATACTTGGAGAATCACTAATTTAACACTTAAATCAAAGCAAACCCTTTTGCATTTGTCTCCTTCTCATTTCAGAATCATCTTTTGATTTCTAGCTCTTTGTCTTCACATCTTCTCTCTCGCCTAATTCACCCATTTGGGGTTCTAGATTCCCACTCAATTGGGTCTTCTTCTTTCTTTCTAGGGTTTTCTGATTTCTGCTTCATCTGGGCATCCATGGATGCTGCTGCTTGTGATCTTCAACTGGATGTTAATGGCCAAGAAACCTTCTTCATTCATGAGGTTTTAACCAATTCCTTTAAACCCTTAACCCTTTCTTTTTGTTAAGAATTGTGTTCTTAATTTGTCTGCTTTCATTGTACTGACAGCATTCATTGTTAGGGTAAATCTTGCATTTATTATCAAGTTTATGCTTCTTCTAAAACACCAAATTATTCACCCTTTCTGGAATCATGGTCCTCACCCTTTTCAATTTTCCTTATTTTCTTTTGTAATTTCTATCATTTTTCTTCCTTTGTATGTTCATGATTCTTTCCTTCTCAACCCATCAAAATTTCAAGTTCTTTTTTTGTCTTTCAATTGCTTTTCCCCTTTTAGTTTTGTAGAAATCTGTGTATATATGTGTATATATATATATATATGTGTGTGTATGTATGTATATGTGTGTATATATATGTGTATGTATATGTGTGTATATACATGTGTGTGTATGTATATAGAAACAATTTATATTTTCCATTCTTGAAATTTCTGTAGGAAGTGTCGTTTTCTTCTACACAGTCCAAAACCCAAAGTTGTTATCTTCATGCAAAAAAAGCTTCGGGTCTGCATTAAATAGACGTACCAATGGCTGAGATATATATATATATATATATATATATATATATTATTGTATGTATAGGTTGTATGCATATTTATTACTTCAAATTCATTAATGTGGGAGGTGGGGTGGGGTGGGGTGGGGTGGGTTGGGTACTATTACTATCTTGAAGCTTCTTCTTCTCTCATTTAAAAGACTTGTGAATTTATGAAGTGGGGTACTGAAAACTCTTTGTTTCGGCACATTGGATCTTTAGAAGCTCTTGGTTTACGAGAATCACATACCCAAATTGTGAAAGATTTGTCCCCTTCAACAAATTTATTGCATACAGTGACATCTCACCATTCCTTTGCAGCAAATTGGTCCTATTTTTCTACTTTATACCAATCCTGTTTTCTTCTTTCTTAAATTCTTCACCTTTTGTGGTGTTTTTAATGCACTGCAAAACTGTAAAAGTGTCTTTTGCCTTCTTACCTACACCTGTAATTCTCAAATGGTTTCGGTTTTTCTAAATCTACCAATGGTAAATGAGTGATTCGAATCAGAGCAGGTGATGCTTTTAAACCCCCCCTTTTGATTTCAAGATTATAGATACATTTTTTGACTTTTTTTCTGGTGATACGAAGAGGGTTTCTGTTGATCAGACGAGTTGTTTCTAGGATTCGAAGTTGGTTAGATTCTTGATCAAACGGGTTGTTTTCTAGAGTCTGACTTTGCGTAGATTCTTGAATGTTTCAAGCTTGGAGATTTGTTTTGAGTTTGGGGGTCAATGAGTTGTTTCTAGGATTTAGAGTTGCATAGGTTCTTGAATGTGTCTTTCTTGATCAAATGGGTTGTTTCTAGGATTCAACTCTGCTTGGATTCTTGAATGTTTATAGCTTAGAAATTTGTTTTGACTTTCAGGGTCAATGAGTTGTTTCTAGGATTCAAAGTGGGATGTTTCTCGGATTCGATTTTGCATAGATTCTTGAATGTTTTTAGCTTAGAGATTTGTTTCGACTTTCGGTGTCAACTAGTTGTTTCCAGGACTCAAAAGTTGCTTAGATTATCGAACGAGTTGTTTCTAGCATTTGACTTTCCATTGATTCTTGAAAAGCTTAGAAATTTGTTTTGACTCTCGGGATCATGAAGTTATTTCTAGGATTCTTGATGATTTGAAAAATACTAGGAATACATTTTGACTTCTATGATCAATCAAGTTGTTTTCTAGAATCCGAAATCGCATAGTGTTTCTAGGATCAAAGTTTCATAGATTCTTGGTTTCGAAGCGCAGAAATCGAACACTTATTTTCTAGATTGTAAGTCTGTTTGAACTAGAGTTTGTCATTGTTGATATATTTCACTTTGATTTCTTGTTATTGGGTGGAAAATTACGAGAAAAATACGAAAAAAGGTCTAAAATCATTGTGTTCTTATCTTGTTTGTTTCATAAAACGTTGCAGAAAATCATCTCATCCTACTGCGGCAGAATCAGGAGATTATTCGGTAAATCCAAAGGCGCGACAACGAATCTCAAAGTTATATTCCATGATTTTCCGGGCGGACCTGAAAGTTTCGAACTTGTATCAAGATTCTGCTACAACAATGGCAGAATCGATATAAACCCCTACACCGCACCTCGACTGTTCTGTGCAGCACATTATCTAGAAATGAACGAAACTATCACTGGGTCCCACAATTTACTCGAGCAATCGGAAAAATCCCTTGAAGAGATCAAGTTTTGGAGCTGGCCGGAACTTTTATCGGCTCTAAGGAGTTGCCAACATCTAGTCCCCATCTCGAGTTCTTCAGGAATTCTTCAGAAATGCTTGGATTCTTTAGTGGGCAGGCTCGTTTTCACAAGTGAAACGAGCCCATCGTGCCCTTCTAGTTCATCACCGGAAAGCTCGGTTCTTCGGCTATCCACCGATAGCAAAAGCACCGAGAGTCTTAAAAGCGGTTTCTTGCGGTCAACCTGGTGGTTCGAAGATCTTGTAACGGTTTTGACGCCAAATTTAGTGAAATTGTTGGTAAAATCAATGGTTCTTCACAAATTCGATCTTGGCGTTACAAGTAGGTTTCTCTTTTACTATCAAAAATCAAGATTTATCGTCGTCAATTTTGACGAAAAGCGAGAAATAACCGAAACCGTCATCGATAGTCTTAGCTTGCTAGACCAACGCTCTGTTCCTTGCAAGAGTTTATTCGGGATTTTACGGGTTTCTTTGAATTTAAACGTTAAGAAGATCTGCAAGAACAGTTTAGAGCATATGATCGGTTCACAGTTGGATCAAGCGACGCTAGATAATCTTCTCGTTCCACCCCCACACGGGTCGAATCATCTTTACGACGTTAAACTCGTCTTACAGTTTGTTAAACATTTTTTAGCCGGAAAAGGCGGGCGAGAAGTTCCAACGTCCCAGATGAAGAAAGTTGCTCGATTGATAGACTCATATATCGCGGAAGTGGCTCCCGATCCTCGCTTAAAGGCCTCGAGGTTTTTGGCTCTTGTAACGGCCCTCCCGGAGTCTGCTAGAGACTTGTACGATGAAATCTACCATGCCATCGACATTTTTCTTCGGGTAACAATTCTTCCTTTTTCCGATGTTTGTTGATATTAAAATTTAAAACACATGGAATCTTTTTTAATCTCTCTCTAAAAAGAGTTTTATAAAGAGAATATGTCTAGCTGATTTGGAACTACAATAGATATTAAATGGCGACCACGTAAATCCGTTTCTTCCTAGCGTTGGTTTTCATTCCGTGCATTCGTGTAACACAGGTCCACACGGGGTTATCAGACGGAGAAAAAACGAGCATATGCGAAAGCATCAACTACGACAAGCTTTCAACCGAAACATGCAACCATCTGACTCAAAATGACAAATTCCCGTCAAGATTTGCCACGACGGCTCTCAAAGCTCAGCAAAGGAAGCTCGAGAACTTGTTCCGTGATATGGACTTGAAAAGACGGTTGGTAGCTCCGGGTCGTGAAGCGGTGGAAACGGAACCGAAAGACGGGAAGAGTGAGCAAGTTGTACTTTATGCTGAACAAGTTGTACATCAAGTGGATATTGTACATGAGAATGAGAAGATGAGGGCACATTTGGAAGGGATGCAATGGAGGGTGGTTGAGTTGGAGAAAGTTTGTAGAAAAATGCAAACACAAATGAGCAAGCTCTTGAAATCAAAAGTGTCTACACAAACTACTTCTAAATCATTGCCAAGGCTTTGTTCATGATATATATATGAATATATTTTTTGAAGTAAATAATAAGAAAAATATTATATCAAGTTTCAAGTGTAAAAAAGTGGTCTACTTGGTCTCACAAGTGTCATTGATCCCAAATTTCTCTCTCTCTCTAGTCTCTCTCTCTCTCTCTCTCTCTCTCTATATATATATATATATATTCTTGTGTTTCTTTATTAATGTATTTTTGTTTACTAGTTGTTTATCTGTATAATATAGTGATATGTAAAATAAGACGTTGATATGTCATCTTTTTTTTTTTCTTTCTATCCTGCTAACATTTAATTTATACTAGAAGAGTACTCGCGCAATGCAGTAAGACACATCTCGATTTTAATGTTCTATTTTATTATTTGTCTCTGTCGATGTTGTAATACGATTTTATGTGTTTTTAAGAAAACAATAATGATTTTATTTTTGAATAAAATATAAATTTGAAGATATCGTAAAAAAATAAAAAAAAATATATCAATGTTAATATCAAATCAACTATTTAAAAGTTCTCATTTTTTATGTAATTTCTTTAATTTTTTATTATTATTATAATTTAATTTAAATTTAACGATGAAATAATTTATTTTTGGTTTAATAATATAACATTTTATAAAGATAATAATTAATTATTCTGTTAGAACTCAATAATTATCCTAATCATATTTTAGATATTTTATATTTAAAATGAGATGTTTATCATGTATTTGATTATGTTTATCTGCAATTAGTTACACGAATTCAGATATGGAGCTTTAATAAGTTGTACTTACACACAATCTACTTGCAATCTTGAGTTTTAAGTAATATGCATTAATAAACAGTACTTTACGCATAAAAAATGGGTTTTAAGAGTTTTTGTCAAATGTTTTATAATATAGTATAGATACGTACTTACTATACCTATATTTACTTAACCAACCCTACTCTACGTATTGGTCTCATTAGTTTTCACATGTCGGGATTTGATTAAAAGAGCAGAGAAAGGAACGGGAAAGGGGTGGCGGTTGAACTTTTTTTTCTGTATCCAAACGTGTCTTTCTCTATGAAAGTATTTCTATTTATATAGCGAGTATCTATTTGAATATGAAATTCAAATTCATGTTTTTTTGTCGAGCAAGTCGACAATTTAAAAGGCCCATATGGGATTCTTTTACTGTGATTTTTTACATTTGTTTTCCCCCCATTTCTTTTATTAATATTTGTCGGAGATCTAAAATGGGAAAAATCCATTTGTGTTTGTATATTTAGTGAAAGAGCTATAAGACCGCATCCGGGAGGCGGTTTTTTTGTCGTTACCAAACGAACTTTGGATATTTCATCTAGAGGTGGGATCAGGGGCGGATCTACCTTGTAAAAGGTGGGGGGAAAGGCCCCCATTAAAAAATTAAAAAAAATGAATTTTCTAAGGGTAAAAGTTGTTTTTTTTTTTTAATTTCTACCATGGTTTTCTTCTGTAATTTCTTGTTAGGCCCCCACCAACTAAAGAAAGTATCTTGAAATCAACCAAAAAACTGAAAAGTTCCTCGAAATTGATAAAAAAAACCTTTAAAAATCCCTCGAAATAATCCAAAAAACTTCAAAAATCTCTTGGAATAGTGGAATAAGGCTAAAAACACATCGGACGACTTTGTGGGCGTTTAAGCTACCTTAAAGGTGCCCCCACTAGACCAAAATCCTGGATCCGCCACTGGGTGGGATGTGGATGATGAACTATATACAGACAAATGCGTTATCTATTACTGTATTTATATTTTACATTTGAAGTATATTTAAAATAAAATTTAAATTTAGGTTCTTTTATCGAGTTAAGTCTTGACAAATTTAAAGGCCCATGTGGGCATTGTTTTACTTCGATTTTCAAAGGGTTGCATGTTCTTTATTTCTATATTCATTAATATCCGTCTGGTTGAAAATAACGTAAACAAGCAATGAAAGCATATTAAACGGATTCACGAAATCAAAAACAGAGGTTGGTTTTTCTTTTGAGGGAGGAGGGTGTTAAGATATATACAGTAACACAGACCATAAATCAATCCCAAAGGATAGCAAAAGATACGTAACGACTTCTTCGATTCAATAATTTTCAATCATTAATAAACAAAATACAAAAAAACGGGTGTGATCATACCAGCACTAATGCACCGGATCCCATCAGAACTCCATAGTTATGCGTGCTTGGACGAGAGTAGTACTAGGATGGATGACTCCCTGGGAAGTCCTCGTGTTGCACCCCTAAAAAAACCCCACAAGGGTGGTGTCTGATTAATTTGAGCTTGTCAAAAGTATCAGAAGGTCTCAGGTTCAAATCCAATAAGGAATAAAAATCCCTCTGTGGCCACGGAGGTTCAAACGCGGTGATTCCGGGCTATCTGCAAAGCAGGTGGTTGCCCTGGGATTAGTCGGCTCGTATAACGGGTTAAAATCCAGGTTAATAAAAAAAAAATACAAAAAACACTGTTTGATGACTAAATATATACCATCAAGCTCATAGAGCCGAAAAAAATACAAACAAACAAGCCTAACGGGTTTTTTGGGTAATCGTGGAATTTCGGACCAGCTTACGCACACTGACCAATGCTTCCAGTGACCACAATTGGTATGAGTTATCGCAGGTGAACCTCCATGTATAAGGGTTTCGAGAGCGTTTCGATTCGAACCCGTAATAGATGACATTTTCCACTACATCTCCCAGAGATTTAACCAATACATCTTTTTTATTCTTTGAAGTGATAGATTATAGCAACTCGAAACAATATACAACTTTCGGGTAAGTTACCAAACGATTTTTAACGTCAAGTTATACGTTATGCATCGATAGTTGTACATTCCTTAAAGGAAAAGTGTCTCTCTTTCTCTTTTTAACTTTTGGTTTTTGTAAAAATGTCAAGTCCTTTTCCGTGTCTTCCCACTCATTTTGTTTCCTCAATTAATTTAATATAAATCATTTACAAAATAAAATTTGTATAAAAAAGCATGTGTTTTACATTACTTGTACTAAAAAGCATACACAGAGATTTCAGACGTACATGTTGTACAACTTACCGATGCATTTCGAGAAACACCCTGTGTTTCACATTCTCGATTTTCATTGGATGTGTGTGAAGAACGCGTTGGGATTATTTGCAATATATAATCGTATCGTACAACCATCTAATGCATATTGATACAGACTTGCACTTGTTATTTCTAATCTTAATGTTTATGCAAAAAGGCTTGTAGCCAACAACCTTTGGGCCCGTTGACACTGTGCCGCTCTGAAAGTATCATGTGAAAAGTAAAGCAGGTGCACAACCTTTGATGATTGACTAGTTATGGAACAAAAGAGAGGGTAGACGCCACCTCTGAGAGATAAATCGACGCATGCATCTCAATGGCAGAGGAGTGTTACCTACGCTCGAACCCAAGACCTCAGTCACAATTTACACTTACACCTTTGCATTGGAACAAATCAACAGAGTTATTTAGGGTAGGGGTGGCAAAAAAATGACCAAACCCGCTAACCTAATCCGAACCCAACCCAAAATTAGCAGGTTGGGTTGAGATTTTCAACTCATTTAAATAAATGGGTCAATTCGCCCAACCCATTTAAATAAATGGGTTGGGTTGGGCTGAATTTTTTGATCCGTTTTCAATTCATTTAAAATATTATATAATTTTATCTTATTCTTAATATTATATCTAGTATTCTAATTTTTAGTTTTGTTTTATTCTCAATTAAAAATCCTACCGTCATGAGATGAAACTTCAAATTTCAATCGCCTCCATTACTTTTAATCATCATGAAACCCTAAGAAAACTCTTTAGTCCATTACTCCATTATGGCCTCCAAAGTCCAATCCAATTTATTTTGAACAATATATTTGTTGTAGTTGTGTTTTATTTAAACTTTGAACAATTTGTTTGTATTTGTGTTTATGTTTATTAAAAAAAAATTAAATAGTCTAGTCCTTTTTTTATTTAAAAATTTAAAATTAAATGAGTCAACTCAGGTTCAACCCATTTATTAACAGGTTGGGTTAAGAAAATCATAAACAGGTCAACCCGTTGTTAACCCATTTAGGTAATAGGTTGAGTTGGGTTGAAAAATCTCAACCTATTTAATTAAAAGGGTTAGGTTGGGTTGAGATTTTCAACATGTTTAATAAATGGGTTGAACCCAACCCAACATGACTCATTATCACCCTTAATTTAGGGATGCACATGGGTTAGATTGATCAGTTTAAAAGCATTTAAACAATTCAAAACCAACCCAACCCAACACGATTCATGGGTTCAGACTAACACCATGTGATACAAGCTTGTATTCAGTAATTTATAATTTTTTGGATTTTGACCAAGTGGGTAATAGTTGACTTACATGCAACAAATGATTGTACTGTACAACCATCTATTGCACAATGATACAAGCTTGTTGTAAGTATTCTATAATATTTTAGATTTTGACCAGGTGGGTAATGGTTGACTTAGATGCAACAAATGGTTGTACGTAATGATTGACTTAGATGCAATAGACACGATTGTACCGTACAATCATATGTTGCATGAAAGTACAAGCATCCAATGCATGGACATATTATTTTGGGAATGTAGAAAGGTAGGCATTTTAGCTTACACGCCACTCCTTGTCTAGGTTTGATATTGTGAAGTCCATATGCGTTACGGTTTGTCTACTCTTTCTATAGTCGTACATCTGTCCCCTTAAATACAAATATATATATATATATATATACAAATATATATATATATATGTACAAATATATATATATATATATATATACAAATATATATATATATATACAAATATATATATATATACAAATATATATATATATATATATATATAGATAGATATATAGGGTTAGGTTCACGTGAGACCAAAAGTTTTTCGTGAGACCCGTAAGACCAATTTATGTTCATTGATCAATTTTATAAGTTTATGATCTAATGGTTTAAAGTTGCACGGTGGCAATTTTGTAATTATTGAGAAGTCTCGTGGCGT